CTTGGGCGCTCTCAGGAGTCTTCTTTTGTGTCGGCCCTAAAACCTCGAACCTGTTGTTGCTTGTTTGTCGTTGTAGGTTCGTTGTTCAAAGATTTATTTATTTTTTGTTGCTCTTGGAAATGCAAATAGTACTCTGGTATCACAGCGCACGCTTCTCAGGGTCGCGCTGTCTCCTGGCATGGCCGCTGCAGACCCATCGCCATCTTGGTACTTGAGAGGCATGAAGCACAATAACAAAGAACAAGCTCCCTGGAGTCAGACTCCCTGGGTCAAACCCTGGCTCCGCCTCTGGGAGTTATGCAGCCTTGAATGAGTCCTCTGTGCTTATTTCCTCAGTTTCTGAGGCTGGGAAGTCCAAAGTCCAGGGAACACATCTGGTGGTGGTGACAGTGACCTCTCACATTGCAAGATGGTGGAAGCAAAGACAGCAGAGAGAAAGAGCTATCTCCTGGGAACTCGAAGTTCTGGGCTGGGAACTCTAGTTGCCCGCTGTCCCTGCCGCTTCGGGCTCCCCCTCAGTCCACTTGAGGGGCTGAGGAAGAATTCCGCGGCTTTTAGGCACAAACTCTCTCCATAGAACTGCTGTGTTGTTTGCCAAAGCTTAACCAGCGGTCCCATTGGGAAGAGGAACCCCGCGCCTAAAGGCTCCCTTGAACCTGGGCGGCGGGGCAGGGGCGGGAGACCCCCACGCAGCTCGGCAGGGCCCGGGTGGCGCACCCGCCTTGATGGGTGTCCTTCTAACTGTCCAAACCATGGGTCCTCAGTGGTTATGAATATGGATTGTCTTATTCATCCTAAAAATGCTCTGGGATGCAATTTAGGATGGAGTTTCTAGGATTGGCACATGATAAAATTTTCACTAGGTAAAGGCAGAGTGACAAAAATAAGTACCAGTTAGTGTTCCTTGTGTTGGAACACTCTCCATCTCTCTCTCTCTCTCTCTCACTCGCCCACCTTCTTTGCATGTTCTACCTCTCAACTAACTCACTGTCTTAAAGAAGCCTTCCCTGACCCCTAGACCAGACCAGCTACTACACTTGTGTGATGTTTTCATAATACCTTTTGGCTTTCTTCCTTCACTTATTATAGTTCGTAATTACTTGTTTATGTGATGCTTTAACTAATGTTTGTCTTAGGGTAAATGGTTGTCCCAGTTTGGGAGAAACTGGGACTTGGGACTGGGACTTGGGGGGACTTGGGGGTTTTCCAGGATGCAAGATTTTCTGTGCTAAAACTGGGAGAGTCCTGGTCAAACCAACGTGATTGGACACCCTGGTTTGCCTCCCTCTTGAGATAGGATGCTCCATGAGGGCAGAGACTGTCCTCTTCGTTACCATTTAATCTCCAGTGCCTGGCACAGACCTGGTTCACAGTAGGAACTCAGAACACATCAGTTGAGTCAGTAATGGAGTGAATGAATATGTCAGTGTAAGCTGAACTTTTCTTGTTAGAAGCCTCTTTTTTCCCTGAGATTATTCTTTCTATTTTAGGTGTTAATTGTTCCTTTTTTATAAATTGCCCTTATTTGACATAATTTAAAGTTGATGATGTTGTGTAGTTCCTTGCCTTCCCTCACCCCCTTCCCATTTGGGGGTTGGAAAGTCTACTGATTTGAGGAATCACTTGTTTAGTGAAAAGAGAACCATAATAGTTGGGGTCAAGGTAATTAAAGAAGGTCTGTCCTTGTGCTAAGATGCTAGACTATGAAGTTCATGAGGGCAGAAATTATGGATATTCAGTTCACTTCTATATTCCCAGGGCCTACCACAGTACCAAGGATATAGAAAGACTGAATAAATATTTGTTGAATAAATAAATGAATAGATTCTCTTCCCAGCCTCAAGACCTTGTGTGCATAGCTCTCTTTCCTCCCTAACATCTAGCTAAATCTGTCCACAACCGTAACTATGACGTCCTCATTCATTGCTGCTGAATGAATGAGAGGTAAGTACCATTGCAGATGAGTAAGCACATGATCTGTCTCTACCTGTTCTCACATATGCATTTATATACTTCCCTTACTTAAAGGGGTTGCCATGGTCTGCTACAAAAAACCATTGCAGCATCTTGAATACTGAGAGCACCACTCTCTCACCCACATGGCTTTTGTTCAAGCTCTTCCCTCAACCTGGAATGCCTATTCCACTTAATCTAGTAAAATTCTACTAGTCTTTTAAAACTAAGCCTATGTCCCTTTCCCTAAGAAGCCACCTCAGTATTATTCCACTTATCAAAAATAAAATCAGAACAAGTTAGGAAAATTTTAAAATTTAGCGTCGTACAAAAAGTACAGATTGTGATCAGCCAGACTTCTTGAAACCAAGTGGTAAGAAACTTGCCTTAACAGCAACTACAGCGCAGTTTATAAAGCAAAAAGGAGAAAGTATTTTGACCTTTTTCATGATTGGCTGTTATACATTACAGTTTTTTTAGGGCAAGCAGAACTGTTTAAACTGGTTTTTCTATAGCTGATTGGTTTAATTTCACTGAATCATGAAGACAGGGATATAAAGCTTACATTTTGTGCTTTGTTTATGATTAGAGTGAGCATTTAAGGAAATCAGGTTTTGGCTACTTGGTTATGGGCAGTTGACCTGGAAGTATATATCTAAACTGTAGCCTATAGTTTTATTTTTCTTTAACACACTCCTCACTCCCTATGCCCCTTCACAACATTCTGTGTTTTGTCTTTACCATCCCATGGACCACATTGCATTCCATTTGTCTATTTATTTATATAGCTCCTCCCTAGATAGGAGCTTCTTGAAGGAAGGACTCTGTCTGATTCATCTCTGTGTCCCTAGCACTTAATAGAGGGAGAGGGCAAGCTATTAGGTGGCTAGTAAGTGTTTGTAAAAGGAAAGAAATGTATCTGTTATCTGTTGCCACAAAAATGCTAGATGACAAAGGAACACAAAACCTCAGTGACATGCAGCAGTAGACATTAATTTTTGCTCGCAAGTCTGTTGGTTGGCTGAGTGATTCTGGTGTCCTGGGCTTGTCAGCTGCTGGTTAATGTGGAGGATTTGCTGGTCTTGCCTGAGCAAGATATATCTGGGGCATCACCTGAGACAACAGGGCTGATTCTGCTCTGCTGCACATGTCTTTTTGTCCAGCAGGCTAGCTTGGGCATGCTCTCATGGCCAAGGCAGAGGATCAATAAAAGGAGTAGAAGGACACAGCCCTCTTGAGGACTAGGTCTGGAAAACTGGTACAGTGTCACTTCTGCCTCATTCTCCTGGCGAACAAGTCATGAACTAGCCCAGATTCAAGAGGTAGGGAAACATACCCACCTCTCAATGTAAGGAGCTACAAAGTCTGATTGCAAAGCATGTGGATTCAGGAAGGGTATAGAATGGGGACTGTTTTTGCAACCTCTGCCTCAGTCAGGGAGCCAGCAAGGAAATGTCTTGTCAGTTTCTTTCCAAAAGGATCATTTTACCTTGACATCTAAATGAATTTATCAGAAAGGTTTTCAGCAATGGAGCCAGGGCCTTACTTGGGAGAGAGTGACTTCCCCCCCATAAAGGTATTCAGCAGGAAGCTGAATTCCAGTCATAGGAACATCAGGTGACAGGAGGATAGGACTTCCTTTAGCCCTGAGGGTCAGTGTTTTTACATACTTTGCCCTTTTCTTTCCAGATCAGCGAAGACCCGATTTTTGTACCAGGTGTCTGGGGACCTTATTTCTCAGCCATGGTCCCTGGCTTCTGGCTGAATGAAGGTGGTCAGAGTGTTACTGGCAAATTGGTAAGTTGACACTTTCTCAGCAGGGCCATGAATGTTTTTACACCATTGAGTAGCACATTTTTTGTCACATTACCCAGATACGCAGTATCTAGAAGATTTTCAGACTTCAAAGTCAGAGTTAACTTTCTTTTAGTGTACAGCCTAATGTATGGTGCTTGTGCAGCATGTTTGCTCAAGGAATAAATGTTGCTCCAGGCAGGGATGACCATCTTTATTCTTAGCTGATCTTTCCCCACATCTATCTATTTTTCTTATGGCAGTGATAGTGATACTCTGCTTTGTGAAAATGACAATATCACTCCCCAGCCCAAATCCTTCCGTAGTTCCCTATAGCCCTTGAGACATAGTTCACATAATTTCCTGGGCACATCATACCCTTTGTGGTCTGTCTGCTCCTGTTCCACACATGCACCTGTCACTTACACTAGATTGCCCTACTCTTAGCTTCCCCATGGCTCATGTTATTCCAGTCCTTTGTCCCTTTGTATATGCTTCTTTCCCTGCTTGGGGAGTTCTTTACCAGCTCAGTAATTTTACTTGTCCTTTCAGGGTAAAGACGGGTACAGTTAGTTTTCTAGGCAAGAGAGCTTCCATGGCAAGAAAGACATAGAAGTGAAAAATGACAAGGCGTAGTTGAGGGTACTTGCAAATAGTTCAGAATTTTAGCTGTGACATAAACTATTCTTCAAATAATGGCTTACAATAAAAGTTAGAGAGCAGGGCAGGGACCACTTCTTAAGAAGTCCCTGTAAAGCATGTTAAGGAATTGAACTTCATATCATAGACCAAGAGGAACCACTGAAGGGTTGGAAGAGTAGGCGGGCATATGCAGATGTCAGTTGTAAAAAACTGCCTAGCAGCCACGAGGAAGAAGGCTAGAGGGCACATGGCCGGAGGCAGAGAGACCAGTCTCAATAGGTTAGTCCACAGACAAAAAGCCATGAGGGCTTGAAGGAGGACAGCAGCAATGATGACTAAGAATTGAGGTCAAGAAAGCAGCAGGACTTCTGAAAGACTGGATGTGGAGTACAAGAGAAAATGAGATGTAGGCTCAATTACCCAACCTCACATTTAATATATTATATTGAAAATATCTGTCTATGGTCTGATTCCCTTGCCAACATTTCTAAATGTTCAGCCAAATTAAAAATGATGTGATCCAAAGCTGGATGTGGGTGCAAATAACTGTTAGTTTCCATCTTTTAGTGTCTCGCTATTACATTTAAGTGCTTCAAATTCTCTGTCGAAGTAGATGGAAGCATAGGTGGATGGGTGGATTCAAAGAGCATGTTCTGTGCCCTTGCTCTTATGCCAGGCTACAGAAATTAATTACATGAATCAGACCTCATCATTCCCTGGTTTAAGGAGCTCAAACTCTGGTCAGGAATCCCAGTAAGTATGAAATAAATAATATTTGATTGGTCTTAATAACTAGTGCTAGAAAAGTTGAGAAGGAAGATATCATATAAAGCATAAAGTACAGTGGGACTGGAGCCTGCTTTACATTCTCCTATTTAAAGTAGTGCTGTGTATTTATACAACTTTCAAATTAAATATTCTTTCCTTTTCTGTGGCACATTGAAGACCCATTACTGAAATACTACAGCCCTTTTTAACCTCGTAGTATAATCACCCTCATCAGACCCAGAACTCATAGATGACAAAACCCAAAAGCTTTCTGTAACAAGGATAAAGATCCAGTAAATCAATTCTTTGTACAGGATACATTGTCCTCGAACCTGTACATCAACAGGTTTTTAGAGACTTCAAACATCTGTACCAATCAGAAATGCTTTCCCCAGTATTTGGCTCAGTTTGCTCTGTTGCTATGGATATACGCAATCTTCACCAAAATGTCATGATGTATCTTGTAGACAAGATTTGGTTAGGTCTATTTTACGAGCCTGAATTTAAATAAAAAAGTGATCTCTTTTTTGCTATTACTAAAAAATCTTCATCGTATTCCACTATAGTTTTTGACAGAAGTTATGAAAATTGTTAGCATTTATCTATTTAGTTCATTTTGCACCATCAACCAGTCATGCTGCATTTGGAGCTCCACCCTTGTACAGTATTACATATATAGTTCCATTGGACATAGGCATGGGTCATGATTAACCAAAGGTTATAGAGAACAAAATCTTTGGAAATCCAAAAGCCAGCACGATGGGGCAAAATCCAAATCAAGAGCAGACTGTCCAATAAAGCAGCAGTCCAAAGAGGCCAAGCAAAGAGAAGCCAGCTATAAAATAAAGTGATAGGATAACAATAATGATGGTAATATTAATAACAATAAGTGTGGCTTATTTTTCTGTGAGAGTTTTATATACATAATCTTGTTACACCTTGAATGATATTTATAATAAGCATAATGCCTCCTCTTATTTTGAAGTCTTTTCCCAGTCTCAATTCCAAGAACTTTTCATGTATTCATTTAATCCTTTCAAAACTCCTATGAGATAGGTACAGTTATTATCTGTATTTTACAGACTCAAACTCAGGGTAGCAACACAGCCTAAAGAGATTTCTGACCCGCCTCAATGGCCTTTACTTACGGTTTCTTTGCAATTCACCTTTCTTTACCATTTACTAATTCTGGCTTATTCTCTTGTGAATTCCTGTCACAGGTTTTGAAACACATTGTCGTCATGTAGGACACTTTCAGAGGAAGCTGCATCTTTTTTGTTCTTCGTTTCATCAGCCCATCTTCTCTACTAAGCTACATCTGCAATCGTCTCTTCCCATACATTTTCCATAGTCATAAATACATCATCTAAAGCAGAAGAGAAGGGAAAGGAAATGGGACAGGAGAGGAAAAGGGCAGTAAAGGAGGGGAAAGAAGAGAAAAAAAGAAAAGAAAACGAAGTATAGATTCGAAAAAAAGATATGTTGTCTCATTTTTACAATTAAATACGTTTCTTCCATTACAAAGCAAATTCTTTGTTCACAGTATGTGAATAGATAGGTACTTTAAAAAAAAATCTTTATCTGGTTATCTTCAGGATGAAGGAAAAAGGAGGATCTTTCCTGGCTCTGGAGCCCTTACAGTTTCATTTGATTGAGAATTGGATTCATCTGTCATTCATTTCAAGCGTTTGCTGCTGCTAATTGTTTCTTCTTAGAAAGACACATGCTCCCTTGCTGCAGATGACTGATTTTAGTTGCATCGCCCATTAAGGGTTGTCTTGTGCTTGCCGATACTCTCTCTATAATAGCTGTGCACAAAACACTGCCATTTGCCCAAACATGTTCCACAGAACACTGGCCCCATGTGGTTGCTGCATCCAGATGTTGCAGCTCATTTCCAGCTGGACCTTGGCCACCTCTCCCTCCAAGTGCTCTTTTCTATCTTCTTTGAAGTCATTTTTGTTGGTGGTGGCATTGGAGAAAGGAGGCTTAGACAAGTTCTTAAGCTGCCCCTGTGGTGGCATTGGCTTTCTGGGACAATTGGCCTGGCCTAAGGGGTTACCTTGGAATTGTCTGAACCCAGAATTTGAACCTGTAAACTTGAGTCACAGGGTCACAGTGCAGCACCTTTTACCATGTGCTTTTGGAATTTTAGGATTGTGCATTGTAAGTGCCTGTCTGCCTCCTCCCTCATCTCCAGGCTCGCTCAACCTGGGCTGGCCTCAGGAAGTCACCTTTGGGAGTCAGTCTTCCATAGTGGGTGTGTGAATAGTTTGCAGTATGCACAGTGCTGTACAGATTATGGAGATAGTGATTTCATTCCTCCGTTCCTTCACTCATTCCAACATGGTGCAGAGATTTCCTGAGCAGTTACACTGGGCCAGGCAAGAATGTAGTTACATCTTACTGGATGATGTAGTTCATCATCAAATAAAAAAGTTGGATGTAGCACATAAGACTAGACTTACTATTCCCGCAGCCTACTGGAAAGGTAGGGCTAACACTTACTGACTACCTGTTATGGCCAGGTACTTCCAGGTTTATTAATATTTGGCATACAGTATGTATATACAGTCAGTGTTGTTATGTTAGTTTTATTGGTGAAGAAATAGGCTGAGAATAGTGAGGTAATTTGATCAAGGTCTTAAAGTTAGAAGTGGGAGAACCACAATTCAAACCCAGGTTGGGCACCAGAGGCCCCAGATCTTTCTAGAACTGGATCTGACTCTTGTGGAGCTGCATTTCTGAGTTTTCTTACAGTTCTCTTGCAAATGCCCTTGAGAAGCAACTACTGTCAGTCAGTGTGACATTCTTTTCAACTATCTTGAAGCGTATACATTGGCAGGCTTTGTAAGGCCATGAGAGAAGAATGTATGTGTATCAGTATTGATGGGATCTATGTGTAGACTTAGGTGTATCTCCAGTATTTCACATTAGCTAATTGGAGTGAGTTCATGGATATAAAGACCAACTCTGCATGTAAACAAATGTCTTGCTGTGCCCTCCTCCTGCCCTGGCTTCCACTACATTTTTGGTATACACGCCTGGATTCCTGCACAGCTTCCTAATTGGCTTCTCACATCTCATCTTTCCCCCTTTTAATCCCTCTCTTGCACTGCAGCTAAAGCAGTGTTTCTAAAACACAGATATGGCCCTGTCACTCTTGATAGCTCTTCAGTTGTCTGTAGAATAAAGTCTAAACTTTTTAGAGTGGTGTTTATTTATACAGCCAGAATTTATTATTTATTGAGTGTTTACTGTGTTCGAGGTACTGTTCTGAGTGAGAAAATAGCAGTGAATAAAACAGCCTCTTATGTCCCGTCCAGTCCCCAGATCTGTACCTTTTTCAAGCCTAAATTCTAACAGAATGAGACTGATAATATACAACAAATAAATTTTATTTTATTGTATATTATTAAAAATAATAGAGGAGGTGGCTTGTGAGTTCAGATAGACAGGTTGCAATTTTAAATAAAGTGGTCAGACTCATTCATGTGACATTTGAGCAAAGAACAAGGAAGGGAAGGAATTTAGCCATTTGGAAACCTGGCAGAAGAGTGTACCGGGCCACATATCCTGAGGGGGTTGCTTGC